GCTGGTAGGCGCGCGCGGCCTTCGCGTGCAACGCAATTCAACGGCACCAATCGAGCACAGTTCATTAAATTCGCCCAGGCAGAAGCGCATAGGCAAGACTGTCGCGACGGCGACAGTGTCAGGTGACGCTCGAACTCGATAGGGCAATGTCGTCATTTGTCTGCGTGGTGTTTCAGTGCTGACGGCAAAACGTCTTCCCGTCTGACCGAGAGGAAGGCGTGTGGATGGCAGAAACAGATTACGTAAACTGGTAATTAAGTAGACGATTAAAGGGTTCTAAAAATCCTATGCGCACATTACCCCACCGCACATGAGCTAATTGCGGACATAAATTAGTCGTGGCGGTATGATCGTGAAATATATGTGTGGGGTTAAGGAAATGCCGAGGTTATGGCACAAAGCCTAGGAATGGCGCATGAGCGTGAAGAACGGTGGTGGGTGGAGGGGGAAGGGGGTTGGGCGCTATTCGAGTAATAGACACACCAATTCGACAGTTATGTGGTAAATTGCATTCGAATAAGTATAGTTGCAGCACTGTACTTGGTGATTTCGCAAATAAGATTGATCGTAGTCCTCATAGAAGCCACACAACCCGCAAACTACGCTTTTCTAATGCATCTATTCGGTCCATTCGCGACTCCTTAACTTTATTTCTTAGCATGTCCTCTCAATCTCGGGACTTCTTCAACTAAAGTTATTGATTGCGATCGCCGATTACATCTTCTCCAGGCGTCTCTTGTACACTTCCTGAAACCTAGCCAAATTGTTTCCCGAGACTAAACGAGGAAACATCTGAGTAGAGATGTTTACTTGTGAAAACCTTTTTCTACATTCTATGAAGCACGGAGTTCTCAACTTGTCCCGCTCTGCCTTGGGTCTCATTTCTCAGGTCCGGACAGCAACCACAGCTGCTAATAGTCTAGGCAGCTAGTATTGCCGGCAGAGACAGGGTGGACTGAAATGGCCATTTGTGGCTTATTATTAACGCGTATCAAGATCTCGCGATCTGAACCAGCAAAACAACGAGCTCGTGGTTCAATGGTTAGAGCGTTAGACTCTGATCAATAATGTCGCGAGTTCAAGCCTCGCGTGGTGCACCACTTGAGGTTAGAGATGACCGGCTGAAGATGGTTAATAAGCCAGAAATGACCCTTCCAATATTCCTTGTCTTTGCCGGTAATAATATCTGCCTAGGCTACTACCTAACAACTGTTTAGAGGTAAATGAAGGACTAATTTGATAGAAGAGATTCTTCGGGAAACAGGAACAGACTTTATTGTAAATTTTCGACACTGGCACACCAGGTCGTCTTCGAATGCGAGGGAATTGTGTGAAGAGCAGTCCATATTGTGAAGGTGTCAAAAAATCTATAATGCTGCGTCATCCGTTGTCAGTAGCATGTTTTGGTGGTTGGCCCTTTTTCCAGGCTTTTTCAAAGATTGGTGTACATTGAATCCAACTCAACGTGCCTGTTGATGCACGAGTGGATGGCTTCTAAAAACTCGCGGGCTTTCTTGTATGGACAAGAGCCAACAATGCAAGTTTCATCCCATGCAAATTGGTGTCCAGTTTCTTATGTGTGCATGGCGACCTCGGACAAGTGATATCGCCCATTTACCGCTCGTTGACGTTCACGTAAGCGTGTGGAGGCCGATCGTCCTGTCTGTCCGCAGTAAACTGCATTGCAGCCGCTACAAGGGATTTTGTAAATAACCTTTTCTGTCCAAATAGCCAACCCTATCCTTAGGGTGTTCAAGCTGATTTAGCAGAATATTCGTTGGTGTGAGCGCCACTTGGATTTGATCCATCCTCAGGCGTCTTTCAACGAGTTCAGACACGTTTTTAATATATGGAAGTGTTCGCCAATTTCTTGGATTAGGCGCTTGATCGGATGACTGTTTTCAAATTCATACGAAGGACTAATTCGCTAGTCTGCCTTACTTGGCCATGCGAGTCCACAGTGACCACACCCACACCCACGCACACAGAACGGAGAAAGCAATTATTAGAAGTTAATGTGGCGGAACTTTCTACAAGACCTGTAAATCTGGAAGATATGGGGAATGTGACTGATTCGATGGAGATACTGAACTAGGTAATGAGCCCTGGTTCCAGGTTCTGCATATTACAACAGTTTTGGTAGTGAGTGAATGTTGAGGGCCAAAATAGTCCTAGATAGTTTGGAGCCGGACGATGATATTTCGCTATCACTGCTATTTCTGGACGCCCAGGCTTGGACTATACTAACACATCCAGAGACAGTTTGTTAAAGCACATGTTTAGTACGTGAAGCCTAAGTAAGAGAATACCAAGTTTTCGGAATCCACAGCCTCGATTGAACTTAGCACTGTGATGAGCTTTGTTGCAGCTACGCTAAGACCGTGAACAAAAGACAGACTAAAGTGAAGAGGTTTTCAGCCACATCAGAAGTAGTTTCATTTTTGAATCACGTCGGGGTCACCAATTTGTAGAAGATCTAAGCAGTAGGTCTGCTTAGAGCACTATAATCATCAGACCAAATCGGAGGGTGTTGGAGAAGACAGAAGACACAACTGAAAGGGGTTTATTGTGCACAGCACCCTGCATTGCTGTCTCCTGCAGCAGTGGCCACTGCTGAAGCCAGGGCTGGCGATGACTGCGTCCACTCAGGCCCGAAAGCGCATCAGAGTGAGGTATGACATTGGCAGTTGCTTTTACATGATTGTGGAGCATGCTGAAGTTGTTTGCGATTGGTGTGTCGCATTGCCCGATGGGGTTTTTCGTATAGAAGTTCCTGCTGCATCGGTCGAGGGGTGGTGTGCTTAAGTGGCCCTTGAGCAGCCACAGATTTATGTACATTAAAATCATTCATGAGCAAGTCACTATCACTGCGCTTACTTTGTGGTAGAGCCCACGTTAGACCCCACCGGAATCAGTGGTAAAACTGCCGTGTTGCGTGGGTTTTGGGTGTTTCATCGTGCAGGTGATAAATGCATCTAAAATCCACCAACTGGCACTCAATGCTCGCCTGTGGATTACCGAAACTAGCGGTCTCATAGAGTTATCCGCCTCGACTGGTAGGCCAAACCAAATGAAGGAATCTTATGTTGTGTGGGTTTACTAACCCGATAACTCTCTTCTCCCACCCCGGCCCTCCTCCTCCTCCTCCTCATCCCTTCCCAATAACAAAAAGATCTGCGGAGGCCATTCAGTCTCATAGGGGACCCGGATTAACTTTGGTCGTTCTTCGACTAAAACAAACTGTGACCCAGCGTGCATTTCAGCAGACGTCTCGGATTTTGAAGCAGCCCTAAGGAAAGACAGCACTGCTTGCCTCTTTGTGGACATGGGGCATGAAAAGGAACCCTAGACAAATGCTGCGATCACGTCATCTTCACTTTAACTGTGGCCTGCAGATGTAAAACGCACGATAGAAGCCATCAAGTCAACAATAAATCCGTCTTCATTCCTTCATAATACTCTACAAGCTGCTACGGTGAATCCTCTAAATCTAGAAGCCTGTAGTGTTCGTTGTCTTTTTGGCAATCCAAAGAGCAACCGGCA